AGGTGCTATCGTTTCTGTTAGAAATCATCCCATGTTTTATTTTWAACCAAAATTCACCTTAATGATGTATTTGATCTCTGAGGTTAAGGCTTTGACTACTGGAGTAAGGCTGGTCCTTTCAGGCATTTGTTTGCCAYATAAACTGTTAATTGCTGTGAACTCTTCATGCCTTGTTCCACTGAGAGATGAAATTTATTTCTTGGCTTAATCTGAACTGCGAGCTCTTGCTGAGAATGCTTCAGAGCACGCAGAGCATTGGTAGCTGGCTTGGGTGCCATCTCAGAGCTGTTAAGTTAGGAGTTGCAGGTGAGGAGGGCAGCCCGGGTCTCTTTAGTGTGCTTGGTAAGAGCAGGGGTCTGCTCTGGGGGTCCCAAGTGCAGCTGCTGGGGTGGAGGGGCACTGGCAGCGTGTTGGACAAAACCCAGTATGGGAGGAGGAGAAGCTGTTCCTGCCTTACAGGTTTATGCTTGAACTTTCGCTGCATAAGCTCTCCCATGAGCCTTTCAATCTTGCAGCTGCAGTTTGGAGTTGTAAACTGTGGTTAGTGGCAGGAGTTAAGGTTTTTTCCTCCTGTAAAAGGTAGGTAGTTTTTGTGCAAACCCTTCCTGTGGCAGTTTGTTTCACTYGTTGCACTAGTTTAGAGAAAGGGCTCCCAAGCTTAATTTACCTGGGTGCCCCTTGGATGCAAAGGCTGCATTTTTATGAYGCAGTTTACTTGTACTTCTTGGCCRTGTGGAATWAAGTGGGCTCTGAAATTGCCACTTTTAGAGAAAACTGTAAGAAGTTACAGCAGGGCATCTTTGGAAACACACCAGCAYTGGCCATGCTTGTTGCATGCTCTTAAGCCTGCAACTCCAGGTCAAACTTGGCAAGTCTCATTCTGTAAATCCATGGGCCATCTGCAGTCTTCAATGTACCTCTTGAAAGAAATCAGTCCCTAAATTTTTCCTTGTACCCACACAGTGGAGTGGAGAAACTGGATGTAGAAACTGTAATACAAACTTCTGCRTTTGTTGTGTGTTCTTTAGCAGGTGCATTTTTTTGACAAATTGAAAAGAAATTGCTGTCTTCACAAATTAACACGTGAGMTAGGAAAGCAAAATCTGAAGAGGCAGAAGTAATGTTTTTTTCTTTGGCTGTTTGATAGGTTAGTGCTCTGCTAAATCATTTAACATATGCTTAGAAAAACCAGTGGAGCAAACTTTTGAAAATCTTTTACATAAAGCTAGAAAACTACTTCTGCCTCCTTTGAGATCAATGAAGAGAGGGATTTTTGTTATGAATAAACAGGAATAGAAGTGCAAATGTCCTATTTTTCCTTCACAGAGCCAGAGCACATTTATGATGCAGTCAGTGCAGGATCGTATCTCTTGTAGCTTCAGCCAAGCTGTTGTTACTTGATCTTAGTAACTGCTGCGTCCATACTTTTTGGGGGGGTTCCCTGATTCCTGGTGATCAGTCAGGTTCTCTGTCCCCTATGCTATTATGGCTAACTCAGAGCCTCTGTGACTGAATTCTGGCAAGGCCCTGTGCTGCACCTTTAGCTTGCAGAGGGTGTCCCTTAGGGGGGTGAGCTGAGCATTGTTCCACCCTGCTGTGCCCTTGCCCCATCTCCAGGTTAAGCCCTGCTTTAGCTCACAGCAGCCATCTGGCTGGCTGGGTCTCTCCTGGCAGGGATTCCCAGCGCTGCTCCAGAGGGTTGCTGTCCACCTCTGCTCCCTGGCTCTGGACTCTGCTCTTCAGGTTTCCTTCAGTGCTGGTAGAACTGGTTTCTTTTGGCATTCAATTAGCACCTGGTTCCCCTTATCTGTCCTCCTCCAAAGCCCCTCCAGGGCTGCTGCAAAAGCTTCAGCCCTGAGGCCAGTGGTTTTTAAATTGTCTCTCCTACTTAAACATGTTTAAGAGGGACTGAGGAAAGGATATCGATGAAAGCATCTTGGAACAGCATCCCAAATTACTGTTATTTGGGTTGAGGGAGTAAAAATAACATGGAGGAATAGCATAAGGGGTTTGTCATCAGGTAAGCAAGCATGACTCCCTCATTTTACGTGTCCTGGGGGATGATGGAAATGAATTCCATCAGAATTTATTCTGATTCCCCAGAACTTAAAAAGAAAATAGGAGACAACTTTTTATTTCTCCATAGTTTCTCATTAATATTTCCAGAGGGAAGAGCAGGTTTTTTTCATTGCTGTGTCTGTGAAGAGAACTGAAGACTAATGTTGCAGGAGGTGCTGGTAGAAGTGATTTAAGTTTTCTGTGAAAAATTCCTGTATTTTATTCTGTTGTCCATAGTAATGCTCAGTATATTACTGTAATGTCAGAAATACTCCTTAAAAAATAAATAGCTTGATTTTTTTTTTTCTCATTTAAGCCTAAGCAGTTGTCCTTCTGCCAGTTTGAGCCAGGACTTCAATAAATTATCCAGCATTTATTCCCTGGTGCGTAATGGAGACGTGTACTGTATTCCTGACACACCAGGAAGCTCAGACCCTGCCACAGAGTGCATACCTGGCTCTAGTGAATCCTCACTGAATGTGGCTAACAGTGTTCTCCTCCTTGGCTTCATTGCTGGTTTGTTATCTTTAAGAAGCCATAGCAAAAGCGTGCAGGAGTTGTATGGGTGCAGTTTTATTTGCCTCCTGAGAAGGATTTGCTTTATAAATAGCAACATGGAAATACTGTAAAACTCTCAGTTGCTAATAAAGGAGCTTTTCTTTTCTGTGCAAGTTACAATATAACACTTACAGCAGCTGGGCAGTATTTGTGCTTTCCCTTACCTTCCTGGGATGTCAGATGCCCTGTCTATTTATATTCATCATATATTCAAGTCTAAATGGACTGTAGTCATTGATTCCTACTTTGGACTTCCTGAATTTCATTTCTGACTGCTACTTTTCCACTTTTAGTTTCCAAAAAATACTTACTGCAGGTTTTCTGCTTATACTTACGTACAATTTCCATTCCAATAAACATTTTCCTTACAGTTTTCTCAGAAATCCAACACTTCGTCAAATCTGCTTTACTTGCGTCTCATGGTGCCGTGTGTAACAGCTTTTAACTCCCATCGATGGGATCATGGTGGCAGTAAATCATGGGACAGAGGAGCCACGAGTGATCTGGGCATTGCTTCTGGCAGGGCAGTGTGACTGGGACTTCAATTCAGCTGATTATCTTTCTAAAGGAAATTTGATGCACTGTTTCATTCTCCCTCTTTTTAATGGAGTGTTGAGTTACTGGTTCATTTTTTAAATGGAAAAGCCAGGATCCCTACTGGTTTTCATTCTCTGTCTGGTTGCTTGAAGGATAAGATCTTTACTGTAAACCCCTGGTAGACATTGAGCCTGCTGTGTTCTGCCCTTGGTAGCTTTGTCCCTGGTCTCCAAGACAGTCACTAGGCAATGGCATGGCTGGGTATGAAAAAGATTAAGTCCTCTTTCTTTTGAATAGATGGGAGGGCTCCTGCTGGCTCTGGGGCACCTGGGATGTTACCTGCTGGCTCCACAATGTTTCTTCTGGCTCTCTGTGTACTGCAGTTCCTGTGCCTCAAAGGAATGGAAACAGAGGAGGAAAAAACTTAAATGCAGCTTTTGCTGTAACCCATGGAATATTTGGGCAATGTAGGGTTTAKTCTTTCAGGTGAAGCTTTCTACAACTTCAGCAGTGCTCTTCTGCCTTGYCACAGGTCAGAAATAAGAAATATATTAGGAATGAGCTTTCAACTATGTTTAGGGAGAAGAAAGGGCTCATTATGATGCACTGGACAACCTCAAGCCCTTCCTGACTTCGTTGATGCGCGGTCTTGCAAGATGGCTTTGCCTTGGTGCCTGTTGTTTTTACTATGTCTGTTTTCTCTACCACTACTTGTCTCGTTCCCCAAATCATTTTACAGCAGACTTTTCTTAGTCTCAAGTGGCCTTAGCCAAGCTATTTCCTCTCTTTGTGCTTTCGTTTCCCCAGCTGTAAAATGGGGATAATGAGACCTGCTTGCTTTTGTCAGGCACTTAGAGATGTGCTTACGAAATGYGCTATTAAAAGGCTTTCTATGTATAACTGCTATACAAACAGCGGTTGTCCAAGTTTATTTGAATTACTTTATTAAAGYCCAAGGTTCTGAACATCCTTTGTTTTTAGCAGAGGATGTTATTTATGCAGTAAAAGTGCCCAAAATGTGAAGCTATTGATCGTTGCTGATAAGTTTATGGATATTAAAGCATTAAATCATCACCACCCATTATCAGCCATTCTGGTGTCTCTGGAAGCTGAAAGTGGTTGTGCATAGCTGGGGCCCTTGATTGTCTTGGAGTGATCAATAAAAGGTTTTCAGCAGAAGCTTTTATTGCCACGTGGTTAAAATGTTCTTCCTGTGCATCCTGTACATGATGACTTCAGCTCGAGGAGAAAGAGAACAGTACTTTGTGGAGTAACTGGATTACACAAAGAAATGTAGGCATTACGTTGAGGCAGATATTGCTACTTGAAGTTTTTTCCCCTCCACTTCCTGCTGCGTTGTCTTGCTGAGAAGGTTTTCTTGCCTGTCATGGTGCTTGTCCAGCAAGTTTTGAGTGTTTTAATTACAGCAGACCCAGGTATTCAGGGAAGAAAAGAAACAGTTGGAAGYGAAGAGGTAAAATAAGAGCTATAACTGAGCAAAATGGTTTAAAATCTATGTGTCTCGTTAGCCGAAGAGTGTCTGGTGCCTTGTGAATGTGAAAGGACAGAACCTGGCTAGGAAAGGAAATGCAGAGCCCAGTCTGAATACATCAGTGCTGAAATGGGTGCTTGGTGGTGTCTGCAGGAGAGCTTTGTGCCCACTGTCTTCTGTTGCTGCTTTCTGAAGTCATGTGGGGCTCTGCCCTGCTGAAATGCTGACACTGGAGTTCCAGCCTTGAATACCTTGAAATACTCCCGTGAATTTAGTGTTTTATTGGGCACTGAGAGTACAGTGTGCAGTGTGTCTTTGTGAGCAGCTCAACAGCAGCTTTTGCTTTGTTTTGCAGACAGTTTCCATCCTGGAGCAGAGGCTGACACTCACTGAAGACAAGCTGAAGGAATGTCTTGAGAATCAGCAGAAAATCATTCAGAACAAAACGAACTGATTTCCTGAGATCAGGAGCTGAAGGCATTGGGAGGTTTGAGGTTGTTTGTGTTCCTAACAGACTGTGTGTGACTTGCTTTAACAATTTTGAGCACAATCTATTTTTCAATTGGAATGTATAGTTATTGTATCTGTAAATAGCTTTGTTACTTTACTAAAATAAAAGCAATATTTTATTCATAAGTGTGGGTAACAATTGTGATCTCTTGTGCTTTCCAGAGGTGCAACAGCCAGTGGACTGATTCAATGTGGACTGATTACTAACCAGGAAGGTCACATCTCTCCTGCCTCTAGTCCTGCTAAGTTAGTTTTAAAGTATGTAAGCATCTTGGAGCTGCCAAATGCCCGGCCCAGGCTGTGTTAGGCTTGTTGCTGAGGTGTGTGCTRGCTGTAGGTGAGAAGCAAAGTGCTCTCAGGATATTTGGGGCAGTGATATTTAACCTCTGGTCTAGGACCATATCAAGCAGGTGAGGTCCTGTGCAACTGGCAGCTGGAAGGGTTTGTYTCAGCAGAGTCTCACACAGCAAATCTGACAGAATAGCTGAGACCCTGGATGATATTTGTGCAGTGGTGATTAAATCCAACAGATTTAGCCTGCTCCCATGTGCAGTATAGGAAAAACAATGAATTGAGGGTGGAAGAGAGGCCCCAATGTGTCAGATGCAGGGTGATTTCCAAGTGGATTTTGCTTCATCCTTGCTTCTTAAAGGCAGGGCAAAGGGAGAGGAAGGTGACCAAACAGTGGAACGTTTTCTCCATTGTGGAACTCCCCTTTTCTTATACTGGACTGCCTTTAATTTTCTGTCCTTTTGCAGATGTTTTCACAGTTGAGTAGCTCATCACTGGCACCCTCCTCTCCTCATCACTCCTCCTGAGATTTTTGGGGCTTTAGCAGGTGTTCAGTATGTAGCTGCAAAAGAATTTGAACTTCTGGGAGATCCTGTCGCCATCACCTCTTTTGCTAACACATACTGGAGGTCTCCTTTCTTGCAATAAACTCTGACCCACATCCCTGGAGAAATGAGCTGCAGGAACTTGAGCACTTCAGGGTTAATGTAACTCTCCTCACCACTTTCTGACCTCTGCAGACAGGAGGCTGCCTCAGTCCCTGCCCTCCATTTCCAGATGTGTTGTGGCATGGGCTGGCATTCTTGCTTCACATGGGGTTTAGCTGGTTTTAAGGCCAGTCCTTGTGGTTTTGGCTTTGGGATGGTTTTTGGTGTTGCACCTCTTTCTATGGCAGGATGTGCTGGCTGGGACAGCACCTTGGTGGTGTTAATGCTCCTGGTCCTACCTGGGAGTAGCTGCTTGCATTTCCCTGCCAGCACAAAGCATTTTCTAGTCTCCTTCCTTCYTAGTCCTTTGTACATCTCTAAGAGCCCCTTGCTGGCATGATCACAATATTTCATTCCTTCCTTTGTGGGAGGCTGAGAGCTTTCTCATTTCCATGCTTGGTTGATGATGAGTTTCTCTCTGCTCTGCCACAGACTTTGTTTTCTGTTTCCAGGYTCTGAGTCTGATAAATCATTACTTTCCCTTAATGGAATCAATTCAGTGGTGATATTTCGTGCTCTTGCTCTRAGCTTTCAGTGGCTTTTTGCTGAGAGACTGACATAATTTTCATTGAAATGAGCTTGTGTGGTGATGCAGATGGGTGGGGAGGAGGGGACTCAAAGGCACTGTGGCCAATTTGCTGCTAGAAAAAGGCTGTTCCTGCCCTGATCTGCCACTGAAGCAATGACARAAATCAGTTGCAAGAGCCTAAACTTTCAACTTAATTCTCAGTGTTGTGGACTGGCCTTTGGGATGGGGGTGTGGAGGGGACAGGAAAGTTTGKGTTCCAGCAGCAGCTTTTAAGCTCAGTTGGGCAGAGCATGGTGCCAGTAACACCAGGGTTGAAGATTCGATCCCTGTATGGGCCATTCATGTAAGAGTGAATTTTGGATTTAATGATCCTTGTGGGTCCTTCCAACTCAGAATATTCTGAGTGATTCRAAATGCACATACACAGGCAAAGCAAAATGTGGAATTCATTCACCCCTTCCCATGGGACACGCAGGTATTCAGCCATCCCCAGGACAGCAGGGCTCCATCARCAATAGTGGTGACTTAGGAAGACAAATGCCATCACTCTGAATGTCCCCCCTTTCTCCTCCTTTCTCCAGCTTTATATGCTGAGCATGGTGCCATATGGTCTGGAATATCCCTTGTGTCAGTTGGGCTCAGCTGTCCTGGTTGTCCCTCCAAACTCCTTGTCTCATAGCCTCCTCTCTTGGGATAGGTGAGAAGCAGAAATGGCCTTGACTCTGTGTAAGCACTGCTCAGCAGCAACTAAAGCATCCCTGAGTTATCAACTGTTACCTGCACAAATCTGAAACAGCCCCATAGGGACAATTGGGAAAAAATCAAAAGCAGCAGGCTGGGAAAATTGGTTTTCTGGACTTGACTTCTCGTTCCATGCTGTTGTTGTAGAGGTAACCCAGAGTGGGTGGGTGTGGGGAGYCAGGAGAGGGAATCTTATAAGCTCTCTATGATTTAGGCAGCATGAAAAGTAATTTGAAAAGATTTTGACAGTTTTATTGACCTTCTTTGTCCTAAATCTCAGCAACTTCATTTCCCCCTTRCAACCCTCTTACCTGGAGTAGGGCTTAAAATGTACCAGCACTTCTGAAGGCTGGCTATTGCTTGAGAGGCAGGCAAGGCTTGGAAAATACAAAACTTACATTTTAATCTTTGTGCTTATACATTGGGCGACAACCTCAAAAAAAAAAAAAATCTTGAGAAGCTCAAATCCTATTGCCTGTCTTGTCCTGAGGCTCCATGTTTTGTCCACTGAGCACCACAATTTTTGAGTTCTGAGGAGAGAGTAGCCTCWGGAGTGAGTTAAATCCACTTTTATTTTTACACGCGTGATTTTTTTGATGTGGACACATCTGCAGTGTCCTGTTTGTGAAGCTGTTAACTCAGGGAGCAGTGGGGCAGCCAAGTGAGGAGCAGCCTGTGGTTTGTCCTTGGGCTGACATGGCCTCTGCCCTGCTTCAGGACAAATCCTGCCTTGAAAACTTCTTGTGGTGAGCTCTGTGCAGGGGAGGCTACGAAGAGTTAAGGATTTTGTTTTGGATCTCCAAGGCAYGGAGGAAGCCAAGTTCTTAAAAAAGTAGTTTAATTTGTTGCCATTACATTTGCCAGACATATGACCTCACTAAACTTTCAGCAAGGGTTCTTTGTGCTGAGATTGGCCCCTGGGGAGCCTGGTGCTGCTGCAAATGGCTTTTTGACTGCTGTGAGTATGGAGCATATTAAACATAACCATGATCTGTGAAAAAGTAAGAATCTTCAAGCACTGCCCACTTTCCTTCCTGTCTGGGAGCTGGAATTGGACAGATACGACAGCAGAGCTCGTTACTGAATAGGCAGGAACAGCAGAGCACTGTGGTTCTGACTCTCCTGGCTGGGAAGTGCAATGGCCAGGAGCATCCCCTGCCCACGGGCTCGTCACTGGACATGAGTCTGCCAGCTAACTAGGAAATAAAATCCAACTATGATCTAAGTAGCTGGGCTAAAACTAGCCAGCCTCGTGGTACAAATCACTTATTATATAACCTCTTTAAAGAGCTGCTTTTGAACGAAATGTTTTTTGAAACACGAGTGAGTAGGAGGGGAGGGAAGCGAATCGTTTTACAAAGGTTTGTCACTGTGACGTGAGAGCAGGGCTGTGATTCTTCTCTTGCTTTTAAAAATGGTTGGTCTGCAAGTGTTTCCCAAGCGATATGACCTGATCACCTGTAGTTTGGGAAAGGAAATAAGTTGGGAAAGAAGATTCTCTTATTGATTCTCCTCTGTGTATTTGACCTGGATTTAGTGTGCTGTAGGAAGTTTTATGTGTGTCTCAGGAAAGCTGGGATCTATTTGTAGCTYTGCAACAGAACTGTCACTGCAGGCAGACATCACTCTTCAGGTCCCCTGTTCTCCTTGTCAGGGGAGATGTCTGTAAATTACTTCCTCTGTCGAGGTACAGGTTCTGTGAAAAAGGAGCTTGTCAGAGATTTGAATGTGGGGTGTCAGTGAAGAGAGAGTTGGGCTTCCAAGGTGCAGGTCTGGCATCCCTCCTCCCTGTCTCCTTGTAGCACAGCAGCATTGCTGCTGGTGAGGGTGTGCTGAGAGCCTTTGAGCTGCRCTGCACAAGCGGTGGCTGTTGCCACGGGTGGAGTTTGAAGTTATCTGGTATCACTTCTGATTAAAGGTGGGGGGTACGTGGTTAAATCAGCTGTGGGGTGGTTTCTGGTGGGGGATGAACATTGTGAACACCTGGGGTTGTTCTGGCASAGGGCGATTGTCTGCTTAGCTGCAGCTGAGACAGGCCAGGTGACCACTGCTCCAGGCCAGGAATTTGCCATCTGCAAGGAAGTCTTTCCCCAGTGACCGCCTTTAGATTTCTTTATTCACTCCAGCCCTTCCTCCCTGATAATGCAATACAGCTGGAAATGTACCATTTTGTATTCACAAAAATGCTAGGCTTGAATCAGTGCCGTGACCCAGTGCCAAAAACCTGTCACCTCTGTTCTCCCTCGCTGTTTTTGCTCCCTGCAGGCACCTTCCATGCAGCTCATAACTCACTGCTGCCTTCCAGAGACCAGGCAAGCTGAGGATACAGTGGTGCTCTGTGTGGTACAAGGGTTTTTCTGCACATCTCCAGAGGGGAATGCTGCTGAGGCTCACCCTGCTTACRCCAAGGGTTTGTGGCTGTGTGGAGCATGTGCCACTCATGGTAGATGTTATTGCAGCTGCTGACTGAAGGGGTTAAGCTAAGTAGCTGCCTGGATGGAGCTCCTGCATGGCCTYGCTTCCCTCTGGGGTGGCTGCTCTTGGCAGTGATTCCATCCTCATGGTTTTGCAGCCAGAGCTGAGCTTTGGTGTGCTGATCTTCAACTGGAGGAAGGACTGGTGCTTGTTACAGCGGAAATGGGCAGCTTGGGAGTGTGCTGGGCACCATGAGATCTTCCTGGCAGCATGGTATGGGCAGGGGATGAGGGGGTCATTGCTTTTCTCCTTGTGTGAATCTACTCTGCTGTGTGTGGATGCCATAACAGCCACAAAGGCTCTGCCTGTTTCCTGTTACACTTGGTCTATGTGGTGAAGCAGACATCTTGTGGGAYCTAACTAG